CTTGGTGACATTCCTTACTTTATAAGCTTACCTTAACAAGGGTTACATCCTCATAATGTATAATGAAATAATTTATCACTATTCATCCCTGCAGCTAAATTGCTTAGAAAAAGAGCATGTAGAACAAGTGATACATTCTTTCCCTTTGTTCTTGTCTGCTCTATGCCTCTGCATACAGCTGAACTTCTACAAAGAAAATGAGAAAACATATACCTCTAAAACCAGTTGTATTTCGTGTGAAAACAGAAGCTTCTCAAGTTCCTTGATTTGCATTAGATCTTGTAGCTTTAAATGTACTGTCATGCTGCCTACATTTGAGAGGTGTGGAGGAGAAGATGACAGGAAGTGGAAACGTGTTTTTAATTAAGCTGTAAAACTAATTTTGCTCTCAAGTAACTTATGTCCTTCCTACATCCCTCACTGTCTCAGAACACCAATTTCATAGTAAAGGAAGTATGATTCACCACCATTGTTCAGATTTAGACTATGCACATGTAACTAAACTCAGCTGCATTATCACAGTTTAATAGATTATCATTCACCAAATGAGTGTGGTAACTGACCATGTGCACACAGTCAAGCCATCTTAGTTATGAAGTAAAACAGACAACTTGAGGCTTAATGAAGGCAGCAGAATATCAGCACCGAGTCTGCGATCAGGATAAGGTATGAAGGCATACAATCTTTACCATGACTGAACTGACAAACACTGACTTAACTGTGCTAACTTGAATGTGTGATCAAGTACTTACACGTTTGATAAATTCGATAAAATAAAGATGGTGCTGGTCATCCTATCTTCATCTGCTGTAATCAACATACATCCTATGCAAACATTCACTTTTAAATACATCATGGGAATGACGACATGATGGCCATTTCTTTTTACTTTTCAAAATGAAACTATGATTTATTGCTCTGAGCCTAGAAGGACTAACAGAAATATTCTATAGTTGATAAATGCAATTAATCTTTGATGTATCTCCTACTTAATCTCCCAAATAAACGGCAAGTTTTCCTGTTAATTTTGCAATGCCACAAACATGAAAAATATTTACAGACAGAATTTTATCCTGAAGACAAAGTTTTATCATACAATTAGGTGTTTGCTCTGTGCCACTATGTAGCTTAGGTACACCACAACTAGGTACCAGTAACAGAGGCCTGATGTATAGAGATCAACAGTATAATCCTGAAGTGTCAGCTGAGCGTGTTTTTAGGGAAAGGTGATAAAGTTCTTCGAATTTTTTGGCTGAAAAGTTGCTCAACAGGATATGGATTTTGTACTGATATAGTAACACTGGAAAGCTAATCACCCAGCTAGAGAAAGCATACGAAGCAGCAACTATGACTACGGTTGCACGCACTGACACAGCCTAGTTCATCCAACTTCCATGGCACTGAGAAAAACAGACATTGGAGAAGACCATTTGGGTATGTTAAATTCCAATAAATTTGAAGGATATAAATGATAACCATGGAAATGAAGTGATGGAATTAAGATGAGGCAGAAGCTTCTGGCTGAGAATGATGCATATAGACAGGGTACAGAGAATTACATACCAGAGACATTATTTTGGCAAAAGTGGCTGAGGAAATGGGTGGATCACAAGTGACTGAGGAAAACAGGTGCACAGCATACCGGATGATGAAACATTACATAGAATAGTTAGGGTTGGAAAGGACCTTAAGATCATCAAGTTCCAAGCCCCCTGCCATGGGCAGGGACACCTCGCCCTAAACCATATTACCCAAGGCCTCGTCCAACCTAGCCTTGAACACTGCCAGGGATGAAGCATTCACAACCTCCCTGGACAACCTATTCCAGTGCCTCACCAACCTATTCCAGTGCCTCACCAGCACATAACTGAAGATTCATGGAAGGATATGTATGGAATAATGGAAATATGAATAAACATGAAGAAGTGGGACATAACCAACTTCATTAACCAAGTAGGACATCAAAGTTTAATTGATGTAAACAATGTATCTGAAATAAGAATCAAACTATTTCAGGACTTGCATGCACAGAATTATTCAAGAAACCTTGTCTACTACCATTTCCCACAACCAAGGACTACAGATACATGAATTTTATCAGCTCAACGGAAGATATAAGGAAGACTCTTTCAAAAATTAAAGAAAGAGTGAAAGAAAACAAATTTATGTCAAAAAAAGGAGCAGTAGGAGAATGAGTAAAAAGGAGTATTCCTTCTGACAATTAGTTGATGCTGACCAGAGCACAAAAGACTAGTAATGGTTAAGAACAAGTAGCAAGAGCTGAAAGTAAAAGGTGCTGGTGAAAATGCAGCTCCTAAAGAAGACACATATAACTGGGAAAAGTGTAAGCGAACTTGTTGCTACAATGCATATAAAGACTCTGAATCCTACCATAGGCACTACCCAGCCCTCATGCATAACAGAATAAAGGGGGTATGCCAAGAAAGCCAACACACAAAAAGAAAGAGATGATGCGAAGTGTGGAGAAACAAGTAGTACTAATCGAAATGAAAAATTACAATCAATGGAAATACTATACCACACTGGGTGAACTGCATTGTGTGAGTTAAGTATATTTAGATGCTGCAATTGGTGGAGTACAAAGGGAACTGCAACGAGACACTGATGAAAAACAGTACTATCACAGATCAGGTGAAGGGACTGACATAAGTACAATGTCAGATGCTTCAAACCAGAAGGCAGAATAGGAGGTAAAGAAACACAGATGTATAAGCTCTCCATGGAAACTGAACTGATACTTACCAAAAAAAGCTGAAGAATAGATTATTTACGGACTGAAATGTTAAGGAAAGATACAGCAGATGAATGACTGATGACAGTCCAATTGACAAGGCAATTTAAGATGAAGACATAAGAATACAGTATAGGTAAGATAACAAGGTATATATTTAAAACAGTTACACAGCCTCCCTTCACTATCAACCTGAATCATACGGAATCTTAACGGACTCATTCTTCCAATAATGTTCGTAGACAGGCGAACAGATACTATCACAATCTACAAATGGGGACCTAAGCCACTTGCTCAAAGAGGAGTATTACAATTGTGCAAAGAACTGAGTTTAAGTGTCTCAAATACTACATGATCCTTTCCCTCTAGAAGCAAATGAAACAGTAGGATACTCCCCCAACATACTGTAACAGGGTATGTGAGAGAAGTTTTGGAAGATAAATAGAGGGAGTTTGTTTTGAAAACACAAAGGAAGAGAGGCATGGAAAGTCTTATTTCATCACGATAAAAACCTCTAAAATTAACTTTACTCAGGGCCAGTATCTGACAGTGATGAGAATGAAGATGAAGGAGGGGACAGAAAAGCAAACAGCTTACTGGAACAGAGAGAAAAACACAAACTATGAATGTAACTAAGTTGCTGGAATATGGAAAACGGAGGAGGGAGGAAAACAGACTGACTACTTAAATAATAAAATTAAGCAGTTTACGGCAGATGGAAAAGGTAAAAGCAAGCAAACAACAAAATTCAAAAATTAAACATGGAAAAACAGAAGACTAACCTACTAATGACTGAATATTGAAAAAAAAAAAAAAATAAAATAAAGGAAGTGCATCAACCAGTGCTGCAGGTATGCAGTCAATTTAAGCAGTCAGCTGGAAGAATAAGAGGACATTTTGCCAGACATCAGAAAAAAGGTGGCCACTTGCAATAAAAAAAAAAGTAGAAAGTACAAGAAGGAGATGGGGTCAACTTTTCCATTTTTACACTTTAACAGTAGCACAGGCAGAGACTCACTGAGAACGAATGGAAAATGTAGACAATGTTCATCAGACTCCTAATGACTAACAGAAAAATATACATATATCGAAGAATATTCCCTATGGCTGGAAGGAGTAGGTAATATTTTCAGCTGTACCTAAATCATTCATGAAAGGCTGAGAAGCTTCTGTGAGAAGAGATGCTTTTATGGGTCTCTCCTGAAAGGTCCAGAACCTTAGCAACAACAAAATTAGCTTCCTGAGTAAGAAGGTAGACCCTCTCTCAGAACCTTTCATATAAAGAAGCAGACTTCTGCACTGGGAACCTAAGATAAAAGGTAGGCATATTAGTATCTTCATTCTGAATCTACAGGACAGCAATATGAAGCTACATAAAGAAAGCCAGGAGTTTCTGGACTATTTATGGGCAATTCCTTTTAAACGTTATTTTAAATACATCCTTTTATCTCGTTTCTAACCAAACAGTACCGATTGACAGTGCTGGAAAGCTAGAAGTGAAAATTCTGGGAATGTGTATGTACTTATGACTCTGCACCTGAAACAAGGTAAGAAAAACACAGGTCAGGAGAGAACAAGAGAGATGTCACTATATGTATTATTTTGGAACAATCAGAAAACCTAACAAAACAATATATTCCAACAAATGCTAGAAGGAAAATAATGAAATCTCTGCAATATTATCTTTCTCCTTCCTCTCCCTCACCCTTAGCTGATAAAATTTGTTAATACACATTTATCACCCTTGTAATTAAACTCTCTACTACCAAACACACTACATGTACTGCACCACTGAAAGATGCTTTAAGCATAAAGCATGTTAACCTAGGTTATCAATTCATTTCTAATGTTAAGAAATTAGGGAAGAGAAGAGGGCTGGGACCAGTCAAGATCTTCCATGAATAAAACCTTTCCCTCAGAAAAAAGAGACATATCCAAATTAAGCTGTCTTGTAGTTGCATATTTGATTAACAGTGATGTTCCTCACATTCAAAATATTGCATCTAAAGACAAAAAAACAAGAAGAGAAAAAACAAACAATACATAGTTAAATCTGGTGCCGGGCATACATTCCAGTTAGGCTTACACTACCAGTTAAATATTATTGCCTGATATTTACTATAGCTGTGTTTTTCTTCTCTTTTGCTGAAGTACAAAGAAATAAAAAACAGATGTTTAAGAAATAAAATAAACATTGTATATTGGCACAGTGATTATCAGTAACTTTTCCAGAATTATTTACACTTACATTTCCAGGCTGCCCACTGCTATTTGTAATGCTGTTTGTGGAGTTAAGACTGCTGCTCCATTCATTTGCAATTCCTATGCTGTCTGTTGAAAACAGGTGAGCGCCTGGCTTTGATTGACAGCCAGTTTGCAGTATGACTACATTCATGGTGTCCTCTGTTGAAGGAATCCCCAACAAATTACACACAGATTTGATACTTAGCTGTGTGAATTAAACAATTTCATACCCAGTACCAAACAAAGCACCTGTCACATGGAAACATAAATCACACACAAGAAATTCTTCTCTCTTTTTTTTTAATATAAGCATAAAAGGCAAGGTAAGAATATATAACAAATATATAATTCGCCGTTATGTATTTGTGGCTACTAACAAATGTGAAACTCTTATTTTCTTGTTCCATCAAAAACTGGTGGGACATTGATTGAAATCGATATATTTAAAGTATTCTAGATTTTGTTTTGTTTTCCAGAATCTGTCACACCAGGGTTTAAAGGCAACATTTGTTAGAACTCCTGACCAGAAAGGTAACATTGTCACTGCAGGGTTCTTTGTTTTCTTTTTCCAGACTAGAATCAACTGGCTTAATCGCAAAACAATTTGAAGAGAACATGGGATTTGTACAGTTTAACTTAAAAAGGAACAAAAATCTTTGAGAAAGTTCATTAGTAACTCACATGTAAATGGGTGATCAATGATTTGTTAATTTTCATACCAGAAAATTCAGCTCAAGGTGACTGAACAGTTACTCTGCAATTCCCCAAAGGCTACTTTGTTAAACCATTACACATCTTGGATATTTGATTCTCAATCTGCAACATACTAAGGAGATTTAGACTTCTAGTTTTATAGGCAAATGAGTTAACAAAAAAAGTTAAGTTTAGCTTAGTAAGCAATTGCTGTTACGAACATTCTTCACCTCATAATCCATGCACACAAGACATCAAAGTAAGGAAGTCAGAACTGAAAGCAAAAATCTCTAACTAAATTCTACAGGTATAGCAAGATTTTTTGCATCTCTAGCCACTTCTGTGTATTTAATGGGTAATGATAAACTACAGTTAAAAATCAAATTTAAATATTTGTCTCTACTAGAAACAATAAGTAGGTCTCACAGAGCACATGAAACTATAAGTCACAGTAAGAAACAGCATGAGGATGAGATACATAGATGCTTCTCTTTAGTGGAAGATTGTTTCTAATGATGCAGATTTTTCCTACCTGGTATTTTATTCATCACAACTCTGCAACCTGCTGACTACACAGTTCAGTGCTTTACCAAATATTTCCTCTATTGTATAAATTACAAAAATGTGGAAGTGGCTCACAAAAGAGAAAGGAAAAAGCTCCACTGAGTACCACTCTGCACACAAGGCCACCCACACACCCCCAAAAAAGGAAAAAGCAACTATAGGGTTTACAAAGATAATGTTACTAGAGTCCTGCTGTTCCTCCTGCAGATCAGGAGTGCAAATAACAATTGGGAAGACAAGAACAGACGTGCTGGATTTTTGTAATTTACCTGACTTCCACTATGTATCATCTTACTGTAGAGCTGCTTGGCCACAGCGGCCACCTTTTGTCCAGTCAACCCTCACACTCACAAGAAAAGCCCTATCTGATTCATGCTCTCTCCTACATCTTCCATTAGCATTTTTTCCCTGACACAACCACACACCCATCCAACATTCTGTAAATGAGTGCAAGTAGTCATACCACACCAAAAGGGTAGTATAAGACTGCTTTCCAAACATTTCAAAGAGAAATGGTGTCTTCTTTCTCTTTCCAAAGTATCTAGGGAGAATAACATTATTTATTCTTGCTATTCTGTTTATTGATAGTTAAGTCAGACACATTAAATTCAGAATGTATGCTTCTATATCATTCTAATTTTTTCCAGGAATGTACATCATAGTTTGTGGCCAGCTGCACAAAAGTAACAAATTCTACAGCATAAGCTTCCCCAAATCTAGTCATATTTTCTCAAAGACCTGACAGAGAAGCAACGGTCTCGTGTGGTGGTCTATCTCATGGTGATCCCTGAAGCTCATGGAGGTTAGCACAGTTCTCAAAAAGAGCTTCAACTACGTAATGCTAATACAGCAGTGCTTCAGGGATAATGTATCAGTAGCCTATACAGGAATAGGGTTGTACTCTATGAGATACAACCTTTTCAGCTATACAGGCTCCTTAGTGTTTGCACTAACAAGGCTTGGGTGTTATGCATAATACAAGAGTTATCACAGTTGGGCTAGATCTGGAGAATCCCATCTTTCATGAAGTCAGAAGTGTTTTCATTATTGCAGTCTTGGTACCAATAGGAAAGAACAGTCTTGGATGAACAACCTGAAGACAAATGCCTTCAGTTAACAGAAGCTGTTACAGAGGAGACTGAAGAGTTTCCAAACTCTTGCCAGCAGAGTTTCAGTCTGCCCATGTTTCTGTTTCAAAAAAAAAAAATAGATCTGTTCTTCTTTAATATGCCAATTGCAGTCAGGCAGTCAGTGCACAAATGACTGCCACAGATTGCTGTTCATTACTTTAAGAGAATCTGTTACTGAAGTGTCCCCACATACCCTGGTTACCCTCTGTTTTGCAAAGGTAGGTATGTCAGATCCCACTACCTCTCTACTTTTCAGGATTAGGTGCCCTCCCTCCTTTCATCACAAGGTGTCTTTGGGACTACAGTTGGACCTAGGATTTCAGCCGGGGTGGGGAGGGAAAATCAAGAGGTGACACAGAATAATACTGTCTGCAGCCAGGGCCTGAAGGGAAAAGCACACTTGGAGGAAGAATGGGGGGTGGGGGTGGAAATGGTCAGCTGGTTCTGAGGAAGTAACTGAGAGAAGACTAGGAATGCAATTATAGAGAATGTGTGCTCCCACAAATTATTTCACACAGAACAATAAAAATTGCCAGGATACATGTATGAATGGTGGGAAATACTCCTCTACCCATTCCACGTAGGCAGGGCTTCAATGAAGTTAGGTGGAGAACACCTGTAATTTGTGATTCAAAGTGATCCATGAACCAAGAGTTCCATGCTTTTCTTACTGATAATAAGATCTAGAACTCTGAAACCATTTTCTCCCCTTCCCTAATATTGAAATCATTTTATTCTACTAACAGAGGAGACAGAATGTCAGAGCTGTTAAACTAAGCCTAAAGTTGCTGCCAACAGCAGAAAGGCACTCTTGCTGATACTAAACAAACACCTAACTTAAGGATGAACTATTCAGACTATCAGAGACAGCGGGTGGGTACTGCTGCAAGATTTCAAGTTCATTTGTTGAGATTCCCTGCTTATATAGTCTTCATTCAAGATGATGAAAACCAGAGTTCCAGAGCGTGCTGGCTGAGCATGTCTCAAGTCTCTTCTGATGGACATAAAATTGTAACACAACTATGCGCAGAAAATTAAGCTGCTGCTTCTCAATTAGCACTGTTAATATGTTTAAAGTCTCAGGAATTCTCTCAAAGTTCTGAAGATTTTTAAAGAGTAAAATAATTCATCCCACAGAGTGGAAGAAAGAAGTGGGTGGTGAAAGAAGTGGAAGAAAGGGTGGGGGTAAAACATTAGCAACAGATTAGAAAGATACCCCTTAGGGAGAATAAAATCAGCAAATTGTTAAGTTTGCACTTTCCTTCAGCCCTCTATCTTTAGTCTGAGCAACGCCTAACTTTTCCTTAGAGATGGAAATCTTGTTTACTGTCAATAAGAGCTTCATTTGAGAATGATTCAAGCATCAACTGGACTATTAAAAGATACTAATGATCAAGACACACAGAAGTAGATCATGATAGGGGTCTCAAAAGAACTCCAGTCTCCAAAAGCTCTGCTGAGTTTATCCTGTACAGTCTTCATGCTGGACAGGCAAGAGGGGAGGCAGTGTTCATGATGCCCTAAGAAAGGAAACAAGAAAATGCTCCCACAGGAGATTTTCATTGTGTCACAACTATACCACGCTGCAATTTGTTTAAATCATACTCTTTCGGCCGTTTCAGAAAAGAAAAAATTGTATCAGATAAAGAGAAAAAGTAGACTTAGTGCCATAAATCACCTCTGTGAGAAAATGTGCATTTTCAGACTTCCTCAGTCAAAGACATACTTGCCAAAACTGGCAAACAGTGAAGGACTTGATCTAGGAGATAGCCTCAACAGTATGAATATAAAGACAGCAAGGTACTTTTGATGTGAAGAAGCAGTTCGTTTGAAAGCTTGTTAGGTCTTAGAATAATGGGCTTCTTGAAATAAATACAGGAGGTTACTTATCCTTCTTCTTCTCTGAGGAAAAAAACCTAACAAAAGTAAAATGGATCATACCACAAGGTCACCGTACCACACACTCTCAGAAACAAGAGCTGTGTGCAGTAAGAATGATTCTATTCATTGAAAGTCTTTTAGGTAAGCATGTGACACAGTTAAGAGTTTGTACAGAACATCACATTTGCTTAGACAGGTTAGACAGAGAGAGGAGACTGCCACTATTTATCATTACAGAATCCTAAGATAAATACTACTAAATTGCAGACATTTTGAGCTTTCAAATCCCTCTTTCCAGGTCTAGAAGCAGAAAGCAAAAAGTAAGATAGGAGCAGACTATCTTTTTATGGATTACATAATCAAGCAAAAACTTCATCATTAAAAGAAAAATTATCACTTATAAAACCAGTTACAAAGAAATGCTTCAAATTCTACCTTGCACCACAGCTGAGAAGAAGGCATGAATAGCTGCTGCAGCAACTGCACATTTCACATTTTGGAGTAGAGGAAGAATGGAGGGGTAGCCTAAGTTGATACTACTATTAGAAAGAATCTGATGACGCATACCCAGAATTAACATGTGTAGATCATACACCAAAGAACTGAATGCTTTTTTGAAGAAAAATGGTTCCTCTTCCCTTTATATAAGTTTGAGTGCAGTGAAGATGAAAGTGGGCTATGGAGGAGAGTACAGCTGAAAATTTTCTGTGTTCTTTTCCAGTTTAGCTAAGGCCCTACTGCAAATACTCTTAACTGAGAAGTTTACTGTAGGTTTCAACAGGACAACTAATATATTTTAAAAAGTCAAGCATGTGTGTAGAAAATTCCAAATCAAGCTCAAAAAGCTGCAGGGAACAAACTGCATTTGTAAAGAAAAGCTATACAAATTTTTCTGCTATACAAATTTGATGCAAATGCAGCCAGCTCCCACAGCAATGTATGGTATTAGAAAATATGGGGTAAATTTCTAAAAGCAAGTGACATCAAATCCATTTATAGATTACAATTAACAATGTCAAGTCACTTCTGTTATTGATGTTTCAAAATTATGGTTCGCTTTTATGAACACTGATACAAAATAACAGTTCTCTTACTTACTTTCAACATGTGCAAATGCACAAAATGGACCACGTGGGCAGTAACCTGTTTGGCGCATGTCATTGCACTTTGTAGACTTATATATCTAAACAAAACAGAACGGTGATTAACCTAAACGTATTTGTTACATAATGACAAAATTGCTAGAAAATTATAAAACCTTTAAAATGAAAAATTTTGAATACTTGCTAACAACATGTATCACAGTTGCCTTAGAAAATTCAGTTCTCATAAGTTTTAAAAAAAATCAAAGAGAACAGAATTTTAAGAAAAGCAAACCTGAGACAAGAGCATCTTAACCCTCTTCTGTATAACAAATAGTAAGTAACAATCATATTTTAGAAAAACAGTGCTTAAACTGCTTTGGTTTTCCATGTTGTATAGAAAGAAGTTGACCTTTGAGAATAAAATTTTCGAAGTAATTTACACCACTTCCAAGAAATCTTGCAGGAGAAATGATACATGTAGTAAAGCAGCTTACAGAACTGAAAAAACCCAAATAAAACAGTACGTTTTTTGCAACACAGGGCCTTCATCAGGACACCTCCAATATCCAAATCATCTTAATGCTCAAATATCTTTCCCTAATGTGACTGGGTGTGCAGCAACTGAAATAATGCTGACTCTTCATGACAGTAATGACTAAGATGCCAGTAAGATCTAGATTCAGTTTATTGCCCTACCAGGCTTTTCCATTTTTATAAAAAAATGAAAAAAAAAGGAAGGCCCAGGGGACTATAGGCCAGTCAGTCTCACCTAGGTGCACAGCAAGACTGTGGAGCAGACCTTCCTGGAAACAGTGCTAAAGGCACATAGAAACTAATGAGGTGATTTGAGACAGCCAAAATGGCTTCACTAAGGGCAAATCATGCCTGACAAATTTGGTGGCTTTTGACGATGGGGCTACGGCATTAGAGGATAATGGGAGAACGACTTGTATCATCTACCTGGACTTGTGCAATGCATCTGACACTGTCCCACACAACATCCTTGTCTCTAAACCAGGAAGGTATGGATTTGATGGATGGACCACTTGGTGGGCAAGGAATTGGCTGGATGGTCACATGCTCTGAGGGCTGGAGCAGCTCTCCTCTGGAGCCAGGCTGAGAGAGCTGGGCTTGTTCAGCCTGGAGAAGACTCCTTCAGCAGAGACCTTAGAGCAGCTCCAGTGCCTAAAGGGGCTACAAGAAACCTGGAGAGGGATTTTTTACAACTACATGTTTTGACAAGACAAAGGATAATCACTTCAACCTGAAAGAGGGTAGATTTACGTTAAATATAAAGAAATTCTTCACTATGAGTGGTGAGGCGCTGGCACAGGGTGCCCAGAGAAGCTGTGGCTGCCCCATCCCTGGCAGTGTTCAAGGCCATGTTGGACACATGGGCTTGGAGCAAGCTGCTCTACTGGAAGGTGTCCCTGCCTGTGGCAGACGGGTTGGAACTAGATGAAATTTAAGGTCCCTTCTAACCCAAACCATTCTATGATTCTTTGACCTTGATGATATTTGGATCTCACAACAGTGTGAGGAGGGGCTGACAAGCTGTCATATTGGAACAATATTAAGAACCTATTTAAAGTCAAATAGATTATTTAGAAAATTAATTCTGGTGATTTGCAAGTCTCCTGCAAACAGCAAGGGATGTTTTTGTTCCCTAAACCTTGGTACCTTGACTTTCAGTATCAGCTGAGTGATTCATGGCTCTGTAAGCAATAATGCTTAGGTCAGAATGCAAGTTCTTTGATGCTTCTGCATGTGCTGTCTAAAAATTGTACCTTGGATTTCTACCTTAGAGCAAACATGAAAAATGAAACTATATATTAAAAAAAATTAAAAACTAGTTCTGTAAGCTCTTTATTTTGGAGCTATTTTAAGCATCTTAGATAAATTTCCCTCTCATAAGTGATTTTGAATGAAAGGCTGAAAACTTAGTTGTTATATTCACACTAGTTGATGCATAATCCAAAGAGCATCCAAGAAACTATAGTAAAATGCTAAATCACCAAAATATTACTGATGCTTATAATTCTACAAATAATTAATTTTTCCTTGAACACTGAAAAAGTGACAAAACATCTACACTGCAGACAAGCACTCACCCAAATGACACACTTAGACAAAACAGCAGGACTGATCCTTCCATGAATTTCACTGGGAACTATCATAGTCATTGAAAAAAACATAGAAGTCATTTGTGGATACCACACCCAAACTAGGAAATGAAGCTGGGCTCATCTTTCTTTCCTGTTCTCTGTTTACTGTTTAAATATAAAACCCAATGCTGTATGCACAATGCTAATGATGAAGAAGAAAAAAAAAAAAACACAAAACAAACAAAGAGAAGGGCTGACTTCCAAATGCTTTCAACAAAACATGTAATTGGAAGTTCACTCTTAGTTTTGAGTTCCTCGCCAAAAAACCAGCCTCACCTAATTCTGTGAGCTACCCAGATGATACACAGTGCTTCTGGTAAATGCTACAGATACAAGTGATAATATAAATTATATCAAAATACTACTGGGGCAGAGCCTGCACCTCAAAAGACAGATCTCAGAGATGGACACGTCATCTTTGTATATCGGTATCACAAGACAGACAGCAAACTTGAAGAACTAAATCATTATAGGAGACTAACTTTCCAGCTGTAGATGAAAACATGTCTGCTATCTATTAACAGAAAAAGCAAGCTATTCCTGAGTGTGATAACCAGGAGATTTCTTCAACAAACAGTCACTGAGCTAAGAGGCAATGACAATATTCTTTATTTTAATTTGGTAAAGAGCAAGTACATGAAAACATCCAATGACAGAAGATAATGTTGAATGTAATGAGTATTAATTCAACTTGAAGGACATTAAAAAGTTAAGGATGCACTAAAGTTATGGATATCAAATAAGTAGATTGAGGAATGAAGTTAACTGATTAATGCCATTGAAAATACTGAATTTCATTATAAACTGGATCAAACGAGTGCTGTGAATCCTCAAGTCAGAGATGCAAAAGCTGTATGGAATTTCCACTCTAACCACACAACTGTATGAAAATCAGAGCTTGAGCAAAGGAGGGAAAGGATCACAGGGTAAGTTGCTGAAAGAAAATTCCTCTTTCAATGCAGGCAACATTGCTAGTTTCTGTGAAATTAAATACTAGACCTAAAATTAGACGAGGTCATAACACTACTCCCACCAAACTGCCCACCTATCCTGCCTCCACCCTTTGTAGGCTTTCCATTTGTGTCTATGTTTGTCCAGGAGCTTCTTCTTCATCCATGTTGCTCTTCATCCTCCTGTTATTCTTGACTGACTTCCCCTTCGTTGGGATGCGTCACTTACAAGCTTGGAGGAGGTGATGCTTGAATATTAACCAGCTTTTTTTGGCCCCACTTCCCTTCATGGTACCCTACCATGTAGACCCCTGAAAAGCCTAAAGTCTGCTCTTGTGAAGTCCAGGGTAGTCAGCTTGCTGTGTTCCCTCCTTGCTGCCCTAAGGATCCTGAAATCAACCATCTCATGGTCACTGCTGCCAAGGCTGCCCTTGAGCTTTACATTCCCCACCAACCCATCGTTGCTGGTGAGAGCAAGATCCAGCACAGCCCCCTCCTATTGGTTCCTGTATCACTTGGAGAAGGAGTTTACCACCAACCTGGATCGCTTGCGCCCTGCTGTATTGTTCCCAAAAGATATCAGGGTGGCTGAAGTCCCCCACAAGGACCAGAGCTTGTGCTGCTCCTATCTGTCCATAGCAGGCTTCACCCGTTAAGTCTTCCTGGTCCGGGAGACTGTAGCAGATACCTGCTATAATACCACCTGTCCCTGCCCTCCCTTAAATCCTGACTCATAAGCTCTTGGTTGGGTCCTCATCCACCCCAGCTGGAGCTCTGTGCACTCCAGCTGGTCACTGACATAGAGGGCAGCAAGTCTTCCCTTGTCTCTGCTTCCTGTTCTTCCGAAGAGCCTGTATCCTTCCATTCCAACACTCTGCCATTGGAGCCATCCCACGTCTCTGTAATGTCAGTAAGATCATTGCCTTGCAGGCGCAGGTACATCTCTAACTCCCCTTGTTTATTCCCCATGCTATATGCATTTGCAAGTTGGGCCACATATGTTTATATGAGCATTTAAGTAGCTCATGCATATTTGAGAAGAGAAAAAATAGCTGATTTAGGTCACTGCATGTCCACTAATTATTCCACCTGTTGCCATTTAGATTAAAGACAGAAAAAATGGGATAAAAACATAAATGCATTTGGCAAAGGCACATCATTATAGATTCACCATATAACTTTGAGAAATCAAAGGTCCTCTAAAATGGAAATGTGGTCATTCTAATAAGGACTTCAATAAAGGATGTGGTAAGATTAATTAAGATAATGAAGAACATAGTTCTTAACAGTGTTATATATCTGCTGTTAGACTGACTAATGGAGAGATGATGATGGATGGTATGAAAGAGGAAAGCAGCTGACAAAATTAACAGCAGAACTCAAGGCTCTGCCTTGTGACTTATTTTAGCTCTTTAATTTGCAGCTTTGTCATAAATAAAAGTATGGTGCAATACTAAGCAGAAAGACACCTTTAGTACAGAAAAAGAAGCTGGAATATGATGCAGAAGAAATTAGATGATCTGAAATAAATCTGAACTGTAAAATCCCCAGTAATCAGGACTGTGAAATTCTGGAGCAGCATCTCAAGAGTAGAGATAGCTGACACCTTTTTAGTGCCATGTAGCTGGTCAACTTATGATAGGAAATGTATGATATGAAGCTTGCAACAATCCTGGCGTCAGTAGTCTAAGAATTCCTTTTAGAGTATGATACTGAAATGCCTTCAACAGTCTTCATAATTTGAAGAGAAAATAGCAATTGAATGGTCTTTGCTTATAGCTTACTAAGTATTAAACCTTCTAGTGAAAGAAATTATATCCTGCTGTGAATCCTTCATGTCCATTCAAAGGTGCCAAAATGAAAACAGACATCCAGTGTTGTACAGACAGCTTCTAGCATAACATGTATTTTCCAGTATCATATTTGTTTCAATTAACTGGCACATTTAACATCTGCATAGTGTTGAATAAGAATTAAACCTCAGCAGACTGCATACCACTGCTATCTTCCCAAGCATTTCACTACTACACTCAAGCATCCAACAAACTTACAAAGACTTTGCCTACAGAAGAATCTAAAATGATTTAAATTGTTTTTCTGGAGTGTCTTACTTTACCCACTATGAGAATTTTCTGGTCTTTCCACATCCTCCTGATCTATTCAGGTTTCTCTTAATCATTTGCAATAAAGCTTTTTTAACTATACTTAAAACAGAAATTTGACCCAAGTTATTACTACTCTGACTTCCCTACTAATCCAAGAGGTTAGGTAAAAAAGAAAACACATATAAACCCAAATCCAGAGAATAATAATTATTTTTTCATAAGCAATAAAATAAAAATCCTTACCATCAGTGAAAACCACAGCAGTACAAATAATTATTTCTTAGAAAATTTTGTTTTGCTTAAGCAAATACCTCGACAACTCAAGTCTTGAATGCATGTCACACGTTTTTTCATAAATAATATCTTAATTGATAATCTAATCCATAATAAATTTTAAATCACTAAAAATAAGCAGAGATGTAGTTCTTACCTCAGGATGAAACTGCTGCTCCGGACGAGAATGACAATATTGACAGCTATCCCCACTTTCACACCTTGAAGGTTCACCCCATTCATCTGCATGTTTTACTTTGGGGCAAGGAGTGGGCCTAGAAAAAAGTGATGTCCAGAGCATGTCTGCATCTAATTCTTAGCAGAAATCTCAAAGAATTTCCCACTAAAATCTCAGCACCTTAGATTCTGGGACCTACAAAGTTACAAATTCTGAAACATTCTGACTTTCTGTAAATTCTTTGATAGAAAGTTGAGCTACTAGGATTCTATCTATCTTCTGTCTAACAACATTTATTCACAGTCCTGAGACTGTCAAGCAAAGCCCATCAATTCTAAACCTTGTACTGCTCCACAAAAAAAAACAAAACAGCAAAACCAATGAAGAAACCAGAGTGTAAGAAAATTATGAAAAACGATATAATGATGAGTGATGTAATGGTAAAAAGAGAGAATGCATTAAATTTTGCTCTTAAAAATATTGCTCAGAAATAGAAATTTATAGGACGAAATCAGAAAACAACACAAATTTTAATCGATCTTTTTGTTACAAAGGTCTGAGTTAGTGATTCCAAGTTTGTACAGAAATTGCTTTCATTCTTCACAAGTAAGAAGGGTATTTCCATTACAGATTCATAGTTTTTGTCTTTAGAACTGCCTGATCATTCTCAACAGACACTTTTTTTCCCCCAAAAAAAATTTAGCACAGCTATTGGGAAAGACATGGTTGTATTCCACTAGGAACACCCAATTGCATTACAGAAGAACCTATCTGAGCAGTCCATTAAAGAAAAGCTGTCTGACTGATCAACAAATCTATTGTTAATAAGTATTTATGTACCTGTATTTGAATTTTCTGGGATTTCGTCTTCTATCTCGACTACTGTGATAGTGTGGACATGCATACCCCTGGTGGCAGAGTCTGGGTGGCTTGGTACACTGCTCTGTCTTGTAGCCAGCTAATACAAAATTTGTGTCTGTAAACAGGTCAACAATTAAAAGAAATAAACAGCTAAATTTTGCATTCAGAGTGTCTTTAGTGAGCGTGGGTATCATGCTGCTTTTGGTAAAAAAATTATGTTTTTTGGTGTAAAATTATAGACCGCTCCACTTGTATAAACTCAGACTGACTTCTGCAGTTTTTAATAAAAGTCTAACACATTTACATGCAAAGCAATTATCATTGCTTTTATATTCAATACCAATATTACAATAAAGTACACAAATAATGCACTGCAATCTACTGGTAGAGAAACTACCTAGGAATTCTAATTATATACATTCAACGTTTTGAAAACAAACATTTGAAAATAAATTATTCATTTTAGTAAGACAAAGACTAAAAGCTCATGCAATTTTATATCTAGGTTTCTCTTAAGTTTAGGGTTGACAGTCCTTATTTCACCAAAACTGCTTTCATGTTAAGGCATGTTAAGGCTGTCCAGTAAAATCTTCCTGGAGAAATTCGAAGCCTCTTTGGAAAAGAGGCTTTGCCTCTGTCTCTACACCTTTGGTTCCAGGAAGGAGGAGCTAAGAAATGACAAACAAGGTTCTGTGTAGAGACAGAAAAATTCACAGAAACAATGGAGCAAATAAATAAATTAGAAGGTACAATTCAGCTACTGGCAAGCCTGGGTTTGTGAGGAATAAATCATGTCAATACAATCTAACTTCTTCCTAAGATGGGAAAATGGATGTAGGCAAAACAGAAGTAGTCAATGTCATGTATCTTTAATTCAGCATTTTAGCCTGATGTTCTCAAAAATGAACTGCACAATACTACAAGACTCTTGCAGAATTTTCTAAAAACTAGCTAAAGAAATGTTCTCAAAATTTCATTACTGATGCACATTCACAAAGCAAAGATTACCATGTGTGAGGGTGCTGAGGCACTGGCACAGGGTGCCCAGAGAAGCTGTGGCTGCCCCATCCCTGGCAGTGTTCAAGGCCAGGTTGGACAGGGCTTGGAGCAATCTGCTCCAGGGAAAGTGGTCCCTGCCTGTGGCAGAGGGGTGTTGGAACTGGATGAGCTTTAAGGTCCCTTCCAGCCCAAACCAGTCTGGGATCTCTGGCTACAAAATAAGCAAGCCTAAACCATGAACATGAGAACCAACTTTGTTCTTATTTCATGTTTAATATTCTATTTTATTCCTGTTAGTCAAGTTCAGCAAAGAATATGGTCCATAAATTAGTATATTAATGACTCAAAAAAACAAGATTCTAATCATTAATGCTACTTAGCACAAACCAGAACTCCTACTGATTTTAACACTTCAATGTTCTTAAACACTGTTCTTAAGAACAACAGAATGACAAAGACTAGCAGCACTTGTACTGAATAGAATGACAAAGACTAGCAGCACTTGTACTGAATAAACTGACCTATTACATATTTTCAAAGACCCTTTTAGACCAAATATTTTAAACATTTTCAAAACAAAACATTTTCAAAATGCAATCTGAATATAAAACGTGGCAGAGAGTACGACTTGTTCACAAATATCTGCATTACTTGTATAAACCAATTTTTACTCTGTTAAAATAGACTTTTGACCTTCTCCCAGATAAACATCCAGGATCAACAAATTGGATCAAACACCAAAAAAGAAACAGAGAAAGGAGACTGTAATGTTACCGTGCCATCTTGGATCTTCACTAAGGATCTTCTCAATCATTGCCTGGCTTGTTAAATTTCCTGGCTGCAGATCTGGAAGGCCTTCACCACATCCTAGCTGTCCATTCTGTAAGGTTTCCTGTGCCTGAAGTTCTCTGGAATGGGGGAAAAGAAAATAACACTGCTGAACTGTACATGTATAGCTGAAGTAACCCTATTTGCTGCAGGTATAAACCTGTCCAAATCTACCAGAATTCTAACACTTGATCCAGCTCTTAACAAGCCTAAGTTTAAAAAAATGACTGTATTTCATACCATGACTTGCACTGAAGCTGGTAAACAAGTGTAAGGAATTACTATGTCATACAAATCAAAAAGAACACATGAAGGAATGGTGGCATTATATAACACAGACAATGTTTGTATCAGCAATGCCCATCTGTACCTCTGCATGCTGGTGTGCTGACATTTCAAATACGCTATTATTTTTTGATATTTCACTGCCACAAAGGACATGGTAGAATGAAAAAAGATATAGAAAGGACAATAAAGGTGATGAGAAATACAGAAGAACTCTAGGAGAAAGAATTAAATACCATAAGATGCTCTGCCTTAGAAAAGTTATTCCTGAAGACAATTCTATTACACCATTTTAGTAAAATTAAGCTGTACAGAGATTCAACAATACCAAACCACTATATAAGATTATAAAGAGTAAAAAAAATACTACAGCATAATTATATTTGGCAGACTTACAAGCAACAAAGGAACTAGATGAGAAATCAAATACCAGAGGTGGACCTACAATATGAGAGTATATTCTCCGCTCTATGAGAATCAAAGGCCTCTACTGTCAATTGGCACTTCTTTCTTGAGATACAAATAATCAAGCAGCTTGCCTCCTGTACCAAAATACTCCTACTCAGGATCTCTGAAGAGCAGTTTGAAAGGTTGTGGTTTATAAATAATTCACATATTATTTCAAGAACTCCACGTATCTCAAAAAAGAAAAATTCAAAGGGAAAGAAAACAAGACAGACCCAAAGCCAAGTCTAAAACCTCTAAAGCAGTCAAAATATTCCTTTACAGATTCAGAAAAGGTGCAGGCAACGAGAAGGAAACCAGTTCTTAGAGAGTGCTTTTCTTTAAGCTGGATATATGGAAGAACAAGGCTATTAAGGGGAATAAATTTAACGTGTGCATCAGTGATTTGACTATTATTCCTCTGCTCTTTACTTAAAATGAAGAAACCCTAGTATCTGTGCCCACCATAGTGCAAAAAGACCACCAAAGAAAAAGACCTGTTTGGATGTTCTTATGAATGCTGGAAGCCTGACATCAGAAGCAACAGCATATGACCGTTTTTCACAAACATCAAAGAAGTTTGAGGCAGCCTATTTGTAGGTTCAAGCTGTCAAACGTAGACTCCTACCACAAGTGTCTTCTGCTCCTCCTGATGCTCTGTACATAACCAATCACCAGTAACCAATCAAATAATACATTAAAAGACATTTAGAGAACAGAGCTTGGTTTCAGTCTTGCCATACATTGGCTCCTTATTCTAACTCAGTACAAAAGATTACAAAGATGTTAAGCATTCTTTATTCAGACATCGCCTCATGCTGCATATGCTAAATGAGGGAAGCTAAAAAGGAGAAAATATACAGACATCTTGCAGAAGAAGCATCAGCTAGCTAACTGAAGAAAGTCTTCTGGAAAGAAAAGCTATATAAAACTAAACAGTATGTGACCAGGCAATGCAGCAGTGAATTCTGTGGCAAAATATGACTTTATAATTATGAAAAAGCAGTGATTTTACTAAAATTATTGTGAAGGGAGAGTTATCTCCCAACAGAATGTTGAGAATAAGGGATAACAAAGTTAAGAATGTAAGACAGCAGCCATACCAGCTCAGATCAAAGGTTCATCTAGCCTGGAATACTGTCTCCAACAGTGGCCAATAGCAGATTCCTAGGGAAGAGTATAAGAATAGGGCAAGCGTATAGTGATACTTCCCCAGAATGTTCTTCCAGTGCCCGATAAGAGACACTTGTGACCTCCAAGGCTTCAAAGCTCTCTAGGAATTGGAATCCTTTCTTACTGAGTATAAACAGACCACTTTTTGTAGCAAGAGCTCTGCCTCCACCCATTTATAATACCTCCCAACAGCATGCTTATCTCCCACCTCTGGCCAGAGCTAAAACTCATACCTACTTGACTACAAATTAGAGAGGTAGAAAATAATACTGATTATCTTCTACACGAAAAAATACAACATAACTAAACAAAAAACCAAAACAGAACATCAGTAGGGAAAATGACACACAAGCTGAGAACCTGAAAGATGGCTTTACAAAATCATAAATTTCTGAATGTAAAAACCACATGCAAATTTACAAGGCATAAATGACAAAAGGTAGAGCATCTGGTCTTTTATGAGTCATAAGCTTACCACATATGGTTCTTGAAAATGAAAGTTACAGAAAATCAGTATTTATATTTCTCAGCGTGCTTCTATCTGCTATTATGATTCAGTGAATTGTATCTTTATGTTTACAGTTACAGAAGCAAGTATATTTTCCATGCAAAGCATACTGCATTTTCTGGTATGTGGTGATATTATAGACATGCTATTTCCTGCTAATTAGGCTGAATAATTTGAAACAAGACTACCTTATATCATATACTGGTGGTCTAAGGTCATGTGCCCCATGAGCAAATGCACAGTGAATTCCATTCTTTGCACAGGGACCCCGGGCATCTGTTTCATGAATGCATGTTCCAGTCTTGTAATATCGGAGATGGTACTTCCTTTCTGTGTCGCCTGTTGTCCGATGAAGGTATGGGCAACTACATAAGAGAAAGAGGAAAGTTAGAGCATTGATTTTGAGTTTTATTATTTAATTCTGAATTACGCTGTACCTCTTATTAACTTATAACAAGTAACTTTGCAGTATTCTTCAAACAAAAATTGCCCCAAACATAGCACCATCACAGATCAGCTTCAAAATTAAAAACATTAATATTTATTTCTTAGTTTCTGCTAATGTTATAAGAATTTAAAGAAGGCCAGCTCATAAAGACGCTAGTCTATGTTTACTATGTCTAGTAAACACCCCTGTAACATCATCTGAGCTAAGGAATGACATTTTCCATACTGCTACAAGCTCAAATAATTTCTGCAGTAGGAGGTAGAAGATGGTCTTGGTTTTTTTAACGTTATCATCATCTAAAACCAAGGAGTACTTGAAGCATGGTGGGTTTTTTTCCCTGCCTGCTTTTTTCAGACATGAGACTTATTGAACAATTTTAAGGAAATCTACAATGACTCATCTATTAAAAGAAGAGAACAATTTTTACATCAGCAATACATCTTTGCACATATACTAAACATTTTTCAGACACAGTTATGTGAGTTAGAGTCTATACTTTAAAATGGTTAGCATCATATATGGATTATAACTGCAACTACCAACAGTAAACAAACTTTAAAAACCTCACAAAAATATATGCAAAGGGATGTCTGCTCCCTCCAAGTTTATTTCAGTGTAATTAATTTTGGTCTCTGCTGGTTTTGAAAAATCAGTAATTTCTAAAACTTTCCCCCATCCCAAAGTAAAAAGAAACTGCACCAAAAAAAAAACCAGAGTGATACAGAACAAGAAATGAAAAGTCTCACAGAAATATTTTACTTTGGAGGGAGAATAGTGAAGAACTAAGTAGACTTAAACACCCACAAGAATTTATGCTGGATTAAGCTTTATTTACCGTATTCTAAAAAACATTACTTGGAAACTAAGCAAATGCAATCATTTGCAGACATTTACAAGTCTGGTATTTGTATAGTTACATCAACATCATACATTTTTCCTGCTGTGCTAAACATCTGCAGCTTCTGCTGACTTCCAGGAATTTATACCATTTATGATTTCTGAGAGTCAAGATGCTTCCTTGTAGAAATTTAAGACCAGCATTCCGTTAAGATAATGGGCTTCAGCTAGTGATTTGTAACTATCTCTTTAAATCCCAACGAATTAATTAGTGGGAAGACTACGCATACCAAATTCAGTGCTACATCTCATTTTGTCAGTGTAACATGAAGCATAGTCCACACTCAGGATTTGAAAGTAATTCTTTCACTCTTCTTGGCTCCCCATGAAAAGACAGTCACGATGCAATCTTTGTTGCATCCATTACACTGTCTCAGCTGAACTTTGTGAGAAATTGGTTATTATGTGTGAATAGCACTGATGCAGACCTCCTGCTCTGCTAGAACTGCCACTGATACCGGAAAATGAGAAAACCCACAAGAGTCAATCAGATATTTTTGCCAGTGCCAGTCCTGTACAGAGCTCTAAACAAAAGGAAATGCAACTGAGACTACATTTTTATTATTGCTAACTGTCCAGAATCATTGCAGGGGCCAAATGTTTCCATTTTCCCCTCAGACTGTTCATTACAAACTCTGGTGTTCCACTCACATCTGCACACTTCACAAAGGTGAGAATACTCTGTCATATTCTCATGCATAATGTTCATGCCTCCATTTTTTGTCTACTGAAGTATGCTAGTTCCTGTTGGAAACAAGAATTAAATGTCTTAACTTCCATATAAGAAGCGTAAAGGTGTTTACATCTCATTGCTTGTCTCTAAGTCCATGATTCCTTACGAGAGAGCAAACATTTCTGCTTAAATATCTGCAGATATTCCCTACTGAAATTGCCTTATCAGGGAAGGACTCCACTAAAAAATAATAATAATAAAAAGAGAAAGCCTTCTATTATTTTAAATGAGAGAGAAAGAGAGTGGAGACCTCAGAGCAGCCTTCCTACAAGGATGCTGGCGAGGTACTCCTCATCAGGGACTGTAGCGAAAGGCCATGAGGGAATGGGTTTAAACAGGGAAAGTTCAGATTAGGTATAAGGAAGAAGTTCTTTACTGTGAGGGTGCTGAGGCGCTGGCACAGGTTGCCCAAAGAAGTGGGATATGCTCCATCCCTGGCAATATTCAAGGTCACATTGGACAGAGCCTTGGGCACCATGGTCTAGTGTGAGGTGTCCCTGCCCATGGCAGCAGGGCTGGAACTAGATGATCTGAAGGTCCTTTCCAACCCAAACCAGTCTGTGATCCTATGAATATAGGCACAGCTGTCAAACAAGATAGGCACAACTTGTATGCAATGCAAGAGAAGGAGAAATGCTCAGGTCACAGTTCTTCCCACAAGACAACACGGATTCCAGAGACAAGCTGGGAAAGAAATGCAACAGAATGCTTGAATGAGACTACCCGGTGGAACAGTTATTTTGTCTGAATTTTGTCTAAGACTTGTAAAGAACTAGATGAGGACTAGTTCTAAAGGTGACTCAGGGGGACTAGAACAGTGTGCAAGCTTCAAAGAGCACAACCAATGGCAACAATTTTGCATGTGCACATTTTACATAAAAATGTGTTATTCATATGATACCACAATAATACATATGCAATTAACCACAGATATCTTGATCAGCTGTAGCTTATGGTAGGATTAGAAGGGCAAAGACCCCTAATAAAAGCAGCTTTAGATGGTAGATAGTACTTATCCACACCTAGTATCAAACTAAGCCAAGGCACTGAAATATCCACAGAATGGATGTCCTATTCAACCTTTAATGAACTAGAGTGATGTTAGATCTTACCTTCACTTTATTAACAAGATATTTTAATGGAGCATAAACCATCGCAATACATAGCTTTAAACAAGACTAGTATTTTGATTTAAAATTACTGATTTTAATTATTGATGGATTACATGGATTACTGATAAATTTGTCTTATGTACCTTAGTTCTGTACTAAGGTTATTCAGGTATCACTTATTCTTTAATAGCAAAGTTTTTATTACAAAACAAAATAAAGCAAAAAAAAAGTTGTTCAACTGTTCCCAGGTAGAATAAGAAACTTATTTCAACGCCCATATCTCTACAGCCATCTCCCAGCTTAAAATAACTATACTGATGCTTTACTTCTAAGGTAATCATGAATTAGTAAAGAACATCACTCTGCATTTTTAAGTTCTATTAAAGTCTACACACAACATTTAACTACCAAAATCAGCTTTGTTTTCTCCATCCAGATCTCTCAATATTCAAAGTAGATGTAACACTATGAAACAGTACATTCACAAAAAGCTTAAAAGGTTAACTGATTACTGAAAAGTATTATTTCCTTTTCGCATTCTTAATTCAAATCATAAACATTCCCAAGATATCCTTTAAGAACAGAACTGTTTCAGTTTAAAAGGTAATGCTAGAAGTGTATGAAAACAACTACATAGTTCTAACTCTGTTAAACATTGAGGGACTGACATTTTTTCCTATGATTACTTGAAGTGCTCTTCTGTAATTCATTCACTCTTACAGCAGTCTAACGTTACAGACACATATTCTAAAACAGAAGTTATTTTGGATCTGACATCAGTTGACAGTGGTTGAAAACTACACCAGATTTAAAAAAAAGAAAAAAGTCCCACTTCTATTCTCAGATGTTAAATTGAGAGGGACACTTGTCACTGTTAAAAATGCACACCTTTAACTCTGTGAGTATTTGAGCCTTTCTCACAGGCCCTTTTCTCAGAACAGATTGTTTTAATCTGCTATCCTTAGAAAAGCCCTTTTCTAAACAGCTTTAAAATTTTGGGCTTTCTTTCAGTACAAACTGAAAATTGGAAACAAATACCTTAGCCAAGCCTGGGTAAACCAACAATTTCTACTGTAACTGTCCTGAAAATGTGTTCCTGAGAACAATTATGGGTGTCATCACTGTACCTTTCTTGCTAGTTCTCTGTCAACTCAGGAACTGCATTAACCTAACCATGCATTCAGATGAGCAGAACAGCCAGAGACATAGAAAAAAGGCAAAAAAGTACCAACATGTTGGTTGTCACAGACAGCTTAAAACAAAGTTGTCTTGGCACTACTGCTTATAACCTATTTCTATAAGAATTTGAAGTTGCTCCAAGTAAAAAGCTAAATTTTAGGCAGACAACAAAACAGTGTCAAAACATACTCTTTTGCAAAGTTCTGAAACAGGAATACTACAACACCGTAAGCATGTCCTCAGAAATGTAGGTGCTTTCCTCCATTTTTTTCTCCTGCCACTTGAGATATGCTGTGGTATTGTCTATCTTTAAGCAAGTTACCCTTGACTTCTCTTGCTTTTCCCAACCATTTGCCATGTATTCTTTTTCTCTTCTGACTTAATTTCAGTTACCAACTTACAATAGCTAGCTGTGATTTCTAGCCAGCAGTTCTCAGGATTAGATCTAAAATAAGGCCTCCACAGTTCTGAAACTTCCCTCACAAATGTCTTCACTAATCTCACCTTATAACTGAGCCAAAGAAAACATTTCATTTTGTCTACTCACATCTATCTTTGTTTTCTTAATTTGCTGTCTGCTCTTACTCATTTTTTTCCCCTTGAAACATTATTCTCCTTCATTTATGGGAATTCAATTATATTCACACTTTCCTCTCAATCCCTCCCTGCAGCGTACCTTCCAACTTCAATATTGTCTTATGTCTACAATCCCTAGGATTGGCAGGAATGCTGTACAAATGCCTGAAAAGGTAATTAATTGTTCTCTTTTACATCATACTTCAGAGACATTTTCTTCTCTTTCTACTGCTTAGGCATGGAACTCAGTATTTTCAAGCTGCCTAGGGCGTTCCTGTTGTTTCCCCTTCTCTTATCTCTGTTGTTTAGTTTGTAAAGCCTCTGGGAAAAATCCACCTTTTCCTTCTGTGACTACAGCATACAACACAACAGATAGCTGATCTGTGACAAGTGCCACTATACACCCCAGTAACCAAAATAATTAATCTTACATTTTTTAGAACAGCTGCTCAGCAAAACTACAGATTTAAAGTTGCTTTCCTGCCTTTCGTTCTTTTCTTTTTGTCAGAAGTCCTTCATTGCTTCCACCACTGCAGATGAAGGTAGCTCTTCTGACATACAACCACAATGTGCCCAGCTCCTCTATGTATGCCTGCCTGCCATATTGTACTATTTGCTCATTCTCATCTCCACGAAGCTTCTACCCCTCCCCAGATTCACTGCAGGCCCCTGTAGCCTTTCTCTAGAAGAGATGTATGTCCATGGAAATGCAAACACTAACGGCCTAGCAGGACAGCTAACAGTAAATTACTTCCTTTGCCTTTTCTCACTGGAAGCATCATGGAACAGTCATTCTCCTTTACTACCCATCAACCTTCATAAAACTTAGGCAGGTTTAAAATCTTGGAGCCAGCCCTACACAGTATGGCTGGCACCTAGGTGTCAATTTTAAAGCTGCCAGGAGAATAAGAAAGCACAACTGGAAAAGTAAAAAAGGATCAGCAACAATACTGGGACAAATGTACAGGAACAATACTAACAGAAACCATTTTCTTGCGTTATGCTTTAAAGAGCACTGCAACGCAAAATCATAGTTCTAACTCTACAATAGCCTCAAGAATACATGCTTATATAGAAATGTATGTACCAAAAATTAACAAATCACTTATTGAAATCTGTTTCCAAATAAATTGCAGCAGGATTCTATCAATCACTTCTGCTAAGTAAAAACTATCATTTTTCCTTAATATCATTGATAATACTATAAACACCTAGGACTGAAAGAAATCACTTACTCATCTCCATCTGGGCAGATTCCTGTAGTCTCATCATATTTTGTACAATAAACATCTGGACTGTAGTTAAAAGTCCCATCACGCCTTCGTACAGGTCTACGACGACGCTGATTTAGGGAATGCCAATGAAAACAGGTAAATGGTCTGTGCTGGGTACACTTGTGCTGCAAAAATAGGGGGCACTGCTCTGTCCTAAATTCCTTTAGATACCTAAAAAAATTCAACTGTGTTACAAGTTTATCTTGTTGGAGGCACATTTTTACAAATTTATCTTGTTGGAGGCACATTTTTACAGTATTAATAAGTCACTTAACAATTCAGTGCACGTAGCCCATGAAAAATTCTACAAATGTACCTGCATACAGTTTTAGTTCTAAGCACAATGCACTGTTTAGCTGTTACATACAAGTGACTTTCATTATTTTGATAAACGTATTACTAATAAAATACAATGGAACACCAGGTAAATTATACTATATTGTAACTAAGCTAAAATCAATTAAACACATTAGTTTAAAAAGAACAACATTTAGAATATTGTACAAAGGAACGACCAAAGAGATTATAAATCAAACAAGTTACTAGAATAAGCATTCACATTGCTTGCTACCATACCAGGTAGTCCTACAAAGGCTATTTTACCTTAACAACCCACATCTAATTTAAACTAGTCTTTAATCACAACACTCAGAGAATATGAACACACTGTATAAAAAGCTTACGGGTTAAAAGAGCTTTATGAAAGTTACCAGGACTATGAGAGAGCTTCATCAAGCTTACTTTAGCAACTATTATGTTTCTGTTGAGACAGTCTGCGATCTTTGGAGGTTACTTAGGTGTTAGTAAGACAGTCCTTCTTTAGCAAGCAGGGCACAAAAGCTAGATAGAAAGTCCAATACTTCTTTCCACAGGATATCAAGATCATGCCAGACTGGGCACTACTGTGGCAATTCTCAAAGAACGTAAGACAGCACTTCTTCCTGCCTCAGTTTATATGTCTATTAGCCAACTTAGCAAGTTCATTACTTTGCTAAAGTTATGCAGTATTTGCAGAGGAAAGAGTATATGGGGACTTTGCAGAAGAACCTTAGAAGTCCAAGATGTCTCTAAAACAACTTAAGATATCACACAAAGAAAGGATCAGAAAGAGGAATTGGGCATCTTTTCTTTCCCAGGTGCTTAAATTGGCACAAGGGGGGTACCATAACACAAAATGACGAAGCATACCTTTAAGTTGAGACAAGAATTTTCAAACTACCCAGGACTGTGGGGAAGGGAAAACCAAACAAAACCACCCCACACTAGAACAGATTATTTGTACTTTAAGGGCTGTAGCAGTATCTGAGTAAATGGCCTCATTCCTACAGTCTTTCTGAGCATGCTAGAAATGTGACATTGAAGAAGTGAAGTTAAGAGAGATGGGATTATATGTATGTGATAAGTCATTCTGCATGTGTGGGGAGCACCTGCTCCCACACGAGATAGGCTGTCAATAACGCCAGCGGGCTGCAGGGACTTTATAGACCATACAAGAAAACAGGCAGGTTTGTAGAGATGGCAAGCACACGGGAACTGTCTTTCAGTAAGGGAAGGTCTGCCAAAAATCACGGAAACACTCCAAGGACTCGAGCTGAGGCTGGCTGCAAAACGCTCAGAAGAGGGAAGGCTGCTGTTACAGCCTGGAGAGAGCGGTCTCGGAGCGCGAAAGGGTGCTGCAGGGCCCGGGATACCGGCGCACACCGTGCAGCCCAGAGAGGCACGACCGTGGGAGCAGATGCAAGGCGAGGAGAACCGCCGCAGGGCCCTGCAGGCAGCCGTGCCCGGACCACCACCAATTGGCCGGCACAGAACACGGCTTCCTCCCCGAGGTGCCTGGAGCGGGAAAAGGAGCACGGCGCGAGCCGGCCAGGGCCAGGTCTCCTCACGGATCTCCCGCCAGCGCAGCAGGCCGCGCGAAACAGGCCTGGCATGCGACCGGACCCCCCGCCTCTGGTCCCAGGGCCCTGCCCTTCCCAGGCGACGCTGGGGCTCGGGGCGCCTCCAGGGCGCAGTACCTACGTGTAGTGTGCCGGCTGCTCGGGCTGCGCAGACCCACCGCCCCTCCACACCACCTTCACAACCGACGGCATCTCCCCCGACCGGCCAAAGCGCACGCGCAGCTCGGTCCTACCGGCCCCGCCCCTTTAACGCGGGCTAGTCCCACGCGCGCCGTGCGGCCCGCACCTCCCGGCAGGACCCGCCCGCCGCAGTGCTCCAACGAAACGCTGCAGGCAGAGCTGGCAAGAGTTTCCACACCTCCAACCCAAGAGACAGCGGGAATAGCTTTATAGGTAATCGTCTTTATTAAACACCTATCATTACCAAAAACAAGGCAAGCACGAAGGGGCAGCTCGTTTATCTCCTTAAATACACTAGTACGTTGCTGGGTGCATTGATTCAAAGAACGTGGAGAAAGCAAAGTAGACAGAGGAACCGGCATTACACCTTCGGGCAATATAATTCAGAATCACTGTTATTCGCCAGGACGCGCCTACGAGCGTATCTCAGTTGCAACAGTCTACTGCAGTAGAAATTGAATCCTAGAACTAATTAAACCTTATGGCAGTAGCAAATCAACCATACTCAATTATTAGGCATCACCTGGATGAACTACAGGGGGACTCAACAACAAAATTAAAGCACAGTGTGCATGTTGTTCAGAGATTCACCAGCAGTGTCAGACAAACATGATGCTGTGCCAGTTTTTGCTGTAAGCCTTACTGGCTGCTGCCACGGTTGAAGTTACAGTGGTGGTGATGGTGTTTCAGGTTTGTTTTCTTTTTTAAAGATTAAGAATTTTAATGGCACATAAAGGTTTGCGTTTTTACATTAGAAAGCTTAAAAGAAATGCCTCTGACTTTGAAGAGAACTAAGCTGTAGGAGTAGCTTAAATTTCTCCTCTCCGTGAAATGTGTCCAGAGTGTGCAAGTTTGAGTATCGATATACCTGTAAAGAAAAAACATACTACACTGTTCATGAAATGAGCGGTTTCCTCCTAACACACTGCAACCCAATCAATTCCCTACAAAACCTCTCCTCCCAGTAATGATGATCTAAAGCAGGCATGCCTAAAATGTTATAGTCAGAAAGCAAGCACCAAGTATGAATTAAGGGTTGTGGATTATTTCTACACCACTTAGTAGAATTACAACAAAAAACACCCCCCCAATCCAAACAAAAAACAACCAACCAAAAAAAAAAAGAATACAGAATCACGTATTAATGAAACATAGTTGTCTTCAATGCAAGTTGAATATACTGTGACTAGCAAAATGTCAAATGAAGGTCACCTTCAACAACAATTTTACAGACTTACAGCTTTGATATTCTAATATACTGTGCATGTAAGAAAAATGACCCATGAAAAAGAGATGGGTTGTATAAAATGTATCTTCAAATGCAAGTTGATTTGCAATACATCCTGTCCACCTCTACGGTGCAGCACAGGAAGAATCCATTCTTTGTGCTACCAGCTTAGATTACTAAAACCAGCACTGAAAGCAGCACGACACATTAAGGAATCAAGCTTATAAAGGCAAGCCTGCAAAAACAAGTTCTCCCATTACATTGCTAGTACAGCTTTTAAGTAGGTGAATGCCAGCAAACCTCTGGCAGCTCCTTCACTGCACCCGCATTCCCGTCCTCGTCATTTCTCCTCCTGCAGTTGCAAGGGAGCGTTGCTTCTGTGCGCCACATCTGAAGAGTCCATCATCTGACCAGAGAAAATTGCTTCCAGTCGCTCATCGATCTCCGTTGGTTCCCTGAACACACACCAGAGCAGGAGCCCCGTGCACAGGAGGCTGACCGGCAGCACTTTCGCCCACGGCCTCTCGTGGTCGCTCCCCATGGACTGGCTGACACTCCACACCCGCGGGCTGGCCTTGCTGGTGGAAAAGAGGATGGGCGCCCCGTCCTCCGGCTCCGCGCCCGCCGCTCCCTCGGGGCCCCGCCGCCGCGCCAGACACATCCGGGTGCCGGGCAAGCGCAGGCACCGCGCCCTGCAAAGACACACGCGTCAGGGGCGGCGGGCGCAAGGCCTCCCCGCGCCCCACTGCCGCCGCTCACCGCCAGCGGCCCAGCGCCCAGCTCATCCCGCCGTGCCCTCCGCGCACCTCCTCCCCGCGCACAGCGGAAGCGGAACTGCAGCGCTCGGCGGCAGCAGCCGGCCGCGACGGAGGGGGGCGCCGCAGCGGCACCGGGCTGGGAGACGGCTGGTGACGGCGCTCCCGGCGCCCGCAGTGACGTTTCATTGCTCGCGCTGGGAGAGCCCGCTGTGTTCCGTATCGCATACAGGGAACTACCAGGTATTCCCGTAACACAACTACTTTTTTTGTGACGGCTGGGGGTTTCCGCAGACCCTTCTGTCAGACCCCGAACAGCTTTCCTTTTCTCCACCTGCTGTCCAAAGCTGACACCGGCCTCCGAACGGGCGCGGGGGAAGCGGTGCATTGTGCACTGCTCTGGCAGAAAACCTTTTAGCATACAGACACGTATTCTTAATGTTAAACTTATTACATTTCATACAACACCTTACAGCATTGGCCTTGAACTGTTTCGTATTTACACCACCTGGTACCATGCTTGATCAAAGAAAGGAAAGCCAGGGCTGGAGGCACAGAACCTGTAAACCTCTGCCCAACAGCAGCTGTAGCAAAGACGTTTTACAAATGTTCTCAGAAATCAGCCAAGTGTTCTCAGCAATGGAAAGCCCTCGCTCGTTTGGCTTTAAGGCAGAAATTCAGGAAGCTGAGAATACCGGCAGAAGGTAAGTCATCTCAGTGGCATGATACACATTCAACTTGCTTGATGCTCCATACACGCTCACTGTTTACCACCCAAGTTTCTTCATACAGTGTCATTCCAAACTCCTGTATCGCCATGGAGGTGTTCATCATCCTTTGACCAATTAAGAACAGTTGTCATTGCAGTTGCCAGTTTGTGACTTACATGTTCAGCGCTGGTATTTTCAGCTGTAATATTCAGTTTAAGACATCAGTTATTTCTGCTTTTAAACATCAAGACATTTTTGCCACAGAATTCACTAAGTAGTTTGAAATAGGCCATCTACAGTAAGCTGTGAATTATGCTTTTGATTACACAGTTCTAATTTACATAATTAAATAATCTACCAAACAGGCAGAAATACTGTGCGAGTTACATAGTTAATAGTTTAAACATGCAGACAAAACGTTTTACAAAAATTCTAATACGATGAGTTTTCCCCAGAAAAGAAAAAAGAAAGTTTCTCAAAACAACAAAAAAGGACATATGTCACTAATTTTAAGCTAATTAGCTCAAAGGTCCATTGTTTTCTTGACGTGCCAATTCTGAACATAAAAGGTGTAAATATACAGAGAAATTAAATCCTCCTTTGACAAATAGTCCATGTAATAATAGGTACGATAGATTGGAAGGAATGGGACAAAAAACACCAACCAACACAACAAAACTAAACCTCGACTGGAATTAATCCAAATAAGCTTTGCTTCCAGGACCAGTCTTCCCTTCCAAAAACTGCATGTGATAGGTACTTACCTAACAGACATTGAAAGGAAGAAAAAAAGGTGACTAAAAAGGGATAAAAGCAATACAAACAGATACAGAGAACATTTCAAGTGTTCTTGATGAAGTCAGGCCTTGTGGTTGACTATGCAGAAAGTAGAGTTACTCAGAAGCTGCTTATGTGCTATGAATGCTGTAACATGGACTTCCTTTCTCTTTAGCACCTTAAGGACTGGAGACAAACCTCAATTACAACAGCAGTGAAAACTTTTCCATAAAGCTAACATTTTATGTCATCAACAGATTTTTCTGGGGTGCAAAGTAAGTCCTCTTCCACAGGAACCAAGACCTACATACTTATTAAAAGTTTTGTCTACTGAATCTTACCTCCATATGTGACATATTATGTGATTACTGCTGTATCCAAAAGCATGATTTATGTATTCACATTCTGAATAGACAATAACAAAAAAGAACAATACCAAAAAACTCACCAAAATTTCCTTTGTATGCAATACCATGCTGACTTAATAAATCTTTCAGGGTTTTTATTTCATTAGAAAGTTGCTTGTATTCCTAAGAAACAAAATGCATTTTAAATGGCTCTCCCACTCTCCAAATGCATACATAAAATGGGAATTTATAAAAAGTAATGGGTCTGTTAACAGGTGTTACTTAAAAGATCATAAAAATAAACTGCTTATTCCAAGAACAAGATACAAAATTTATAATTTCATTTCTGTGTTGCCAAAACAGGAGCCAGCTTTTTCCAATCCTGAGAGTAAAATTTAGGAGTGCTCTCTGTGACTATTTTGGATCTACTCTCTAACTAGCATTTTATTGTAGCACAAAATTACATTCATAAGTTTGCTACAGGACCAGCCTTATTTTATTTTATATCATCATGCTAAAGTCTGGAAATTCACTGGCTGCCCAACTCCTGACCTAGTAACTTCATCTTCTCACTTTCAGCAGTTTCTCTTAACTTACAGAGACTATTGATTCTGTTGCAGAAAGACTGTTCACACACCTGAAAGTAATTCAGAAATGGACACAGCATAGATCATTCTGCCTTTTCCTTTTTGCTTCTGCCAATGCATTCTGATGCAAGTCTGGGTAATTATTCAGAGAGAAACGTTCCCAAGGCTGGTTACATGTTTATTTTCACTAGTAATTCTCTCTCATTTCCAGACTGTTATTCCCCACAAAAAGCACTTGCAAGTGTTCATAACCAAAGCACCTACACCAATTCCTACATACCCACACTCTGTCTTCTCATTGGGCATTCAGTTGTGCTGGTTTGTTTTTTACTTAAGAGCTAGAATAAAGATATGAAACCACTCTGTATGCAGCCTGTTACATGCTAAAACCAGAAAAGAAAATCCCATTAATGGATTTCAACTGAATCCAAAGTTATTTAGGTAACACCGTCAGTGATACTCTTACCCAGTAAAAAGGCGGCAACTTAATTCCACATTGTAAAGATTATACTCTGTACCTTACTGCACTTCTCCACTGTTTCAAATTCAAAGCTTATTTTCTTATTCTGTTTCTCAACTTCCTTTTCTTCTGTTGCTTTTAGAAGTCCTGCTTCCTCAAAAATCTCTTTCAGTATTTTTCTGTAACCCTAGAAAAAAAGTTTCACAAAGACAATAGATCAGTCCACTCCACTCTCATCTGCTTGTAATTTGCACTAGCCACTTCAACTCCTCAAGCTTCACTACAGAAAATATTATTATTACCAGTTGATACAGCAGTTACAGAGCACAAAAATGACTATTTGCCAACTGCAGAACAAATGCATCCAGTCCACAAGGAGAAACTTGGAAAATGCCAAGGTTGGATATTTGACAGAAATGTTTTTTTACCAAATAGAGTTGGAAGACACTAACAAACCTGGTCAGTTATTAGTTCATCATACAGAAGCTGCTCTGCTTCATCCCACTTCTTTTGTAGTGCTTCAGTCAGAGTTGGATAAACTGAAAAATGGAAGTCAAACCATGTAAAAATCAACACCTCTGTCCTGCATTAGTTAAATGTTCCTCTAGTAGCACGCAAGAGTATTTGTTTTAAGAACTCAATGTTTCTATACAGTACACAGCCTCTACTGCTTTCAAGAGTTGGGGTTAAACTTAAAGTGCTTCACATATTTAAAGTTCCTGAAGAGTGCCACCAACCAAAATTTTTTCTCATATTTCCAGCTATAAGGCCTCCTATTTCTTTGTTGAATGTAATTCTAACTAAGCTGTGCCTTTTTGTAATGTAAATAAATGAGGAGACACCACAGGGACGATTCCTATAGCCAGTACAGGAAAAAAAAAAGGAAAAAAAAAAAAGAAAAGCCCCAAACAAACCAAACCCCAACCCAAACCCCATCTCTCACTGGATCTAGGCTAGCAATGGCATTTTATCTGAGAAATACCTATATGTTTATAATGATTATAATTTAAAATACACTTCATATGTTACATTTAATACTAATTTATATCAATCTACAGACTCAAAGAAACAAAAAATTTACACTCTGAGGTTGGTGTAATACGCCAGCTGCTCCATACACAAATGGTTTCCTAAGTCTTACCTAAAAGAGAGTGGGGGTGGCACACAAGAGGAGTCTCAAATGTCAGAGAGTAAACACAAGTGCTTGGCTCAGACACATAAGCCAATTTATTGCTCCTTCCACAAACAAGATGAACCTAAACAGCAGTAAAAACAAAGATGAGCAAAACACCTCCTCGAGAAACAGGACCAGCATAAATAATCAGTTTGCTGTCTTCCAATGCTAACAGATGCATTTCTGTACATTTCTGACTGTTATGTCAAAGGTTGCAGTGCTGTCAGCCACAGAAAAAGAAGAGCAGCAAGCACATCTTCAAATTGCTTTATCAAATGTGAAAATTGCTTCTTCTAATGGGAAATGATGCCCCCACCTATCATTGTTCCTTGGACTCCCAAGCAACATACTTCCAGCAAGAACGAGAGTAAAAATGAGGGTAAATAAGATACTCCTTAGAAACTTACCTGACATAAGCATAATTCACATAACAAATCTTAGTTCTGACCAATGTGCTAAATAAAGAGAACAATATAGAACTAGACTATAGAAATTTGTTTTCATCTTGAAACTTGCAGCATCAGTATTTTCTGTCTGTTCAAAACTAACCAGTGAAAGATCTGAATCCCAGTATCAAAGGTCATACAAGAATACTAACTCTTTCTGCAGGCCTATGGAAGATAAAGATGTTAACAAGGCACCTCCATTGCAGTACAAATATTTTCGCCTTTGCCAAGATATTATTCCTTATCCATCTTCAGATCAATTATTATTCCAACTAAATAACCCTCTCTCTTAAGTATTGTATTGTCACCCATCATTTTAATAGCCTACACGAAAAGCAGCCTGTTATGAGCTGTACTGAAACTCCTCTTCATAACAGCAATCTACATCACCATGGAATGCGAGTTTTAATTCACTGTATCTGCAAAACTGTGTAACACACAGAAATGGGAGGTGGAAAAAGAAAAACATCAATGAATAAAAGGATAAAGGATACACACAAATGATGTGCCATGCACTGGCCAAGTCTCAGACACCATTCCTTACTGTTGTAGCTGAATTGTTACTGGGCACAGAGACTGTTTGAATGTGAAACATTTTAGCAACTCCACAAAATAAACATTTTTACATTTTTCTTTAAAATGTAGGCACACCAGAATGTTTCTCTTGACATTGTTCCTTTGCCACGCCCATGTATTTGTTTCCTTCCTTAACCCTTTCATGACTTCTGCTGTTGTTTTTAAACCTTACCTAGCTTCTCAGCATGCTGTTTATTGCCTAATGCTTTTTCCTCCTTTTTCCTGAATGTTCTTAAGCTGGCATGCTGAATTCAACAAATAAATTTTTCTTTATATTTTTCCTTACACAAATTACAAAGCACTGTCTGTTTCTACAGTGGTGATACCAGAATATTCCACTCTATCAAGGAAAAAAGAGTTAAAAGTAACCAATGAGAATACATAAATTTCTTCAAAATTTTATCCTGATTTTAGCTTCCCTCCTGCATCCATTCACCTAGCTCCTACAGGAATTAATCTTTACATTTTATGTTACAGCTTAAATGATGACTGCTTCAAGGTAGGAATGTTTCAGTCTGCAGAGTGTCATGAGTGTGTGTAGAGAACCATACTGTCAGAATTAGCATAGTCTATCTAGATTATTATACCTTTGTCTGTCTGCTCTTGGTTTCACATGAGTCTCCTTCCCTCATCCACATTCCAGTGAATGTGTTGTTGTCAATTTCCCATTCATGCCAGATTCTGAAAAAACACAACATTGTTTTACTTCAAGTTACTGGAACGAAAAAAGTGAACACTCGGAAAAAAAAAACAACCAAAAACCAAAAAACAACAAACCAAGAATACCCTACTCCATGGTGAACTTAACTGTATATACTTAATTTTTGCTGTCTTAGTATTTCCATATCTTAACAGCCAAGGCCTTACAAACAGTATAAACAGCGTAGTTTGCTATCCAGGCTGCTACACAGGGGACATCAACATTATTTTGAGAGTAGTTTTGGATCAACTTTCAGTTTGCAAACCATCTGCAGTTACAAACCCATATTTAAATCCAATGGGTTGATACAACTGTAGATCAACCCCACAACAAATTTGATTATGCTAAGTACTCTGAGCAACACAACATGGTTGTGTTCAGGGCTTTTACTGCTGGTGAAAGCACCTAAAAAAACTAGTCTCTACTTCTGCTAGTCCTAAAGCAAATGATCCGCTCAGCACAGTTTTCCCCTCATACTATGCACACTGGGTGGGTGGGGGGGGGGGGGGGGGTGAAGAAAAAAAACCCAAAAGAGATAATAATAAAAAATATTTAGATAGGCATTAATTTTAAAGCAGTGCTCTGGTTTTTAATAATAATCATTAATACTTATTAATATTTAATAAATAATTAAATTTATTTTATTTTAGGTGTTATGATTTGTGTATTTTGGGGTCTTTTAATACTTTGGAATACTTTTTGGGGTCTACAGTGAGTCTTTTGTCACCTTTTATTAAATATGTTTAACAGGACCACTGGGCATAAAGCACTAATTTCATTTTTTAAGGTTATACTAAAGTTAAAGCAAAAATTGTGAAGAGACACGAAATTTTTGTTAATATAAGCTGTAGTTATACATTACTGAATTTCTCACATTAACATACCACTTTGCAGTTGTCACTGGTTATTTATCAGCCTCCAGCTACAGCAGGAGGTTAGCATTTACCAAGAGAAAAACCTGGATTTTTCAAGACAAGGTATTTTTATGCATAAGGCCTCGGGAACTACAAGGACCTAAGCTGACCAATAAAAGACTCTCAATTTTAAAACCATTTTAACAATCTATAAAACGGTCTGCTAACAACATAGGTAAAACTTAACAGTATAAAAGCCTCACCCTAAAATCCCACTATAGGCGTTCCATCGAAAAGTCTGCTCATGCTGAGTGACATTATGGAAAGGACAAAACTCATACTTGTACCTTAGAAGGAGGAGTTAAAAAAAAAAAGAAAAAAAAAGAAATGTTTCAGTGTGAAATAAGCAACTACTTCATTCCTAATAAAGAATTCAATATCCAAATCCATTACTCACGTTGATTCCACAAAACTGAAACACTTGCCAGCAAGCCTAAAGAGATGTGCAGGGCCTAAAAACACCATAAAATGACATCAAGAAAGAATAATGTTTTAAATGCATTTAAGCAAGTTACTGTGATGACATAACTGCAAGAAGTATTTGGTATGCTGGTTTGCATAATGATCTTAACATATATAAGCCTCTTTCTATGACAGAAATAAGAAACGTGTATACAAACAAATATTTGGGGGGCCAGATCCATAAAAGGAATTATCAGATCCTGCCAAAATCTAACACTGAAATCACTAGAACTCTTGCTTAGCAGCTGTCTGTCCCCAAAGTCATCCAAACTCCTCGAGTTTATACTAGGAAAGCCCATTTGCTCAGAATGTTAGCAGTACTTCAATATTTAAGTTTTATCGAGATCCTTGAAAAAGATACTCCTTTCCAGTTTGTCTTCACAGTCTTAACCAGTTAGCATTCAACAAGATAAACTTTTTACTGTCAGACAGGCCAGCAGTTACAACTCCAGTCTCACAGAATTGACCCTTCCAGCCTTGCTGCCTAAAAGAATTCAAGACAGGTAACTCATCATTCAAAAAATGGCCAAAAGTTCTTAACTGTGTGCTACAGAGGTATTACAGTGTCCCTTTTTTAACATAATTTGCATGGAGTGACTAAATATTTGTGAGGAAAGGAGAAATTAAAAAAAAAAAAAAAGAAAAAAAGCAGCGAATGAAATAAAAGGCCATCCTAGACTCTAATGGCCCACTGCCAGGATTACCAATGTAATTCTTGCAAAGATCTAGGCAAGCAATCCTAGAAAAAAAGATCAGACCCCCAGAATCATGCTCTCCAGAATGTCCTCACCACTGGGATAAAGGCAGGTTCTCTTTCCCATGTGATTTTTCTGACTGCATGATCACACATTTAATTCTACATATTATCAGTGGCTTGCCCAAAGGGTTTGCTGCTCTACTACATGCAAACTATCCCTTAGTGATTAGGATCCTCTCCCCACAGAGGAAGAAAAGCAGACTCGAATGTCCCTGAGTAATGCCTTAAACTCATGCCTCCATTTCCTTGCAGATGCTCTAATTATAGGAACTGTTACCCCAGCTGTCTTGTTAAAGAAAAGACCATGTAAGGTTTCCACCCTGAAGAAATAATTCTGCAAGACATGGTTCCATGCCCTAGATTCCAGTTCCATAGACGCTCACAGGTTTGAGCTACACGTAAGTTCCCACATCCAGGAAATATGTATTTTTAGCAGACTTTTTAACTTTTTTCCTGATTTTTGTGTGTCTTTCCATTCAGCATTCTAACTATTGCTAACTATTTCACTTTTCACATGCAGCGCATGCAAAATTTATACATTTGAATTGAGTTTATAAAACATGACAGAAGACATTAAGCATAATCAAGCCCAGTGTCACCATTCCAAAGGTGGCCACTGAAGCTGAACAAGGGTTAAGGCTGTGCCTAAGGTTGGCAGAGACTTTTGCTTACTCCTTGCATTGTTTATTTTATCTATGTACTCTCCTCTATATATATGGCCCAGAATTTTTTCAGTTCCTGTTCATTTTGGCAAAAGTGGTGGGTTTATATTGCAGCACCCAGGCTTTGTGTGTGAAACTGAGCCTCTGTGACCTGCTCCAACGCTACTCTTAGGCTTTTTTTAAAACAATGTTGAATATTAAGACCTATCAGCAGATGGGATGGCTTCTGTATGACAATGTCAAGGATGGCAGGGTTGTTCTGAGAGGGAAAAAAGTAAAGATCAGAAGGATCTGTGACTGGCTAAAAGCACCACAGAATAAAACACAGATAGGACTGGTAGGTAGAAAAGCAGTCCGAACAGCACTGGGACACTGAGAACCAAAGTGATTAGGTTTTAACCCTTCAGAAGCACAATAAAATGTATTTGCTCATGCTTATCTTCCATGACACTCATAAATAAATATGACGAGTAAAAGTCTTTGTCTGCATACAGTCACGGCAGACCGCTTCGCGAATGGCTGTCACTACATGATGCAAACTACAAAAAAGGTAACGCTTGCATATACCTGATATTGCGGACGGGGACGTCTTTGGCTGCAGCCTGTTTGTCTGAGGCAAGAAGGGGTTATTCAGCCTTTCAAAAGAAGGGAAGTGAAACGTTTGAGACCGAGGGACGCCCCTGGGCACCCGCACATCCCTCTGCCCGAGTGCCGCAACACCCGCACCCCGCGTGGCTCCCGCAGGGGCGCCCCGACCCCTTCCCGGAGGAAGGAACGGGCTGAGGCGGACGATGACCCCGAGCGCGCCAAGTCCGGGTGGGTCGCGGCCACGGCGAGCGGGGAGCCACGTACCCGAACGTGTTCGGCTCCTCCACGATCTTCATCTTCCCCGCCAAAGAGAAGGGCCCTGCAGGGCACAGAGCGGTTGGCTGCAAAGTAACACACCGCCCCCCCTGCCCTTCCCGCTCCCGGCCCCGCGCTCACCCAGCGCCGCGCCCAGCGCCACCAGCAGCAGCCGGGCCGCCGCCATCGCTCCTTCCGCTGGAAACGGAAGGGCGCGGAGCCGGCCGCTCCGCCCAGCCGCGGAGCCATGGAGCGCGGAGCCGGGGAGCGTGGCCGGCCGGCTTCCTCGCGGCGTGGTAGGCGGCGTGGCGCTGGCAGCCTCGACGCCTTCGCGGCGGAAGCGGAGGCTGCGCTGACAGGTGCGGGAGCGACCGCGGGGCCTGTGGGCAGAGCGGCTGCGGGGCCTGCCCTGAAGCCTGTTCGGGCCGCGTGGCCGCTGGGAACTAACGCGCTGCTGCTGTTTTCAGCTTGCCTGGAGGGCGATGGGGGCGGCCCAGTGGCGAAGCTCCCTTGCCCTCTTGCCATGTGGGAGCTCGGGCACTGCGACCCAAAGAAATGCACCGGGAGGAAGCTAGCGCGGAAAGGGCTGCTCCGAACCCTGCGCCTCAGCCAGAGGTTCTCGGGCATCGTCCTCAGCCCTCTGGCTACCGAGCACGTCTCTCCGGCTGACAGGTGGGTTCCGGTGAGGCCTCTGCCCGTTTGCGAGGCCCGCGCAGGCACACGTGGCTCAGGTGTTGTAGTGATCGCCTACTGAGGAGAACACTTCAGCCGCTTGTTCATGGCCAGAACTGTGCCACAGGATAAACTTGACCTTCCTGTTGCGTTACATTGATGCATAAACATGAGAAATACGGGCACTTTATTAAATCGGCTTAACATTTTTACACAGCTGGTATCAGGTGAAGAAAGCATCTATAGATCCCGGTGAGAAATCAAAGCATGTGGTTTGTGGGTTAATTTGTGCAAAAGCACAAGCCTGTAGCTACCGGATCTTTCACAATTTCATACCCAGGTTCTTCAGGTAGGCAACACAGTGCGTTAGCGAGAACGTTTATTTGGGGGAAACACTGAGAATTTTCTTCAAATGTGACTGCAGAGTTTTTATAAAAATTTATTTACTTGGAGAAAAGCTGAGGCTTCTGCCGCTGGCAGCAAACTTCAATCTGAATTTCAGTGTACTTCTAAGAACATGAACATTACCATTAATCATAGAATCATAGAATAGTTCGGGTTGGAAAGGACCTTAAGATCATCAAGTTCCAACCCCCCTGCCACGGGCAGGGACACCTCGCTGTAAACCATATTACCCAAGGCCTCGTCCAACCTGGCCTTGAACACTGCCAGGGATGGAGCATTCACAACCTCCCTGGGCAATCCATTCCAGTGCCACACCACCCTAACAGGAAAGAATTTCCTCCTTATATCCAATCTAAACTTCCCCTGTTTAAGTTTTAACCCGTTACCCCTTGTCCTACCCCTACAGTCCCTAATGATTAATCACCCTCTCCTGTCATATTTTTAAACCTAGAACTTTTAACTTTCAGTATGGAATGTATGGATAAACCTTTTCTACCATATGCATCTTCAGAGGAAAAGCAGGTTGTTGTTCTTTCTCATTGCATCTGTATTTTAGATCATTGTAAAACGTATGCCTTGTGATTGACAAAAGGGGGGGGTATGCAGATTTGTCAGTGTAAAGTGGCAACTGTAATCCTCCCATTCAGTTACCAATACTACAGTGGTGATTTTTCAAATAGAGCAACATTTGGTTTTGCAGGTCTATCGTTGCCCAGAGTGGAATTGCAGTCATAGATTGCTCATGGGCCAAATTAGAAGAAACTCCCTTTAAGAGAATGCGAGGAAATCACCTACGGCTGCTGCCTTACTTGGTGGCTGCAAATCCTGTGAACTATGGTCGGCCGTGCAAACTGTCCTGTGTGGAAGCTTTTGCTGCAGCCTTTTGCATTGTCGGTAGGTCGTAATGCATCTGATGTGAAATATGTTACCAGCAATTCTTACATCCTTAATAAATCAGAAGAGAGAATCTGCAACAGAATAAACTGTACGGCTGTCCCACTGGCCATCATTTATGTTGAGTCTGGAATCAGATTGTCTAGCTTTCTTCCAAGTACTTGTATCTGGCAGTATTGAGGTATCTGTGGGGACACATAAACTGATAATCCTGGTTTTGTCAGGATGGCACTTCATTTAAGAAAAACCTAAAAACTCTTTAGAAGACAGAGCGTGAATCCTTTGGCACCTCTGTCTTAATGACAGGAAGCAGCTGGCTCTTAATAGGCTGGGTTCTGATTAAGAACAAAATTAATTGCCCCCTCTTGTGATGTTCTGCAGACTCATCACAGCTTTCCTGACAGGACAAGACTGCAGATAAATCTTACCTTCTGAAAAGTCTGTATTTACAACTGCCGTCTTCCTGAAGGAGTGTGGGAGCTAGAGCTTGAATCAATCATGTGGTGATACGTTGGTGTGTTCTGACCTTAGTAAGCTGAATGAAATCTCACACTGAAAAAGAAAACTGATTGTTTATTTTCTGTTTTAGGATTCCCAGACCTAGCCACCATTCTTCTAAGGAAATTTAAGTGGGGTCAGGCATTTACCGACTTGAACAAAAATCTCTTGGAAAGATATGCAGCCTGTCAGTGCCAGGAGGAAGTGCTCAGAGTTGAAAAGGAGTTTTTAACCAGTGTCCAAGAAACAAAAGAGGAAGAAATAGGTAAGAAAAACCAGACACATAGCACACCCTCTTTTCCTAACTAGTTTTCTTACTATCTTTTCCTTTAATCTCATGAAAATACTGTCAAGGTACAAGATCAGAGCTTTGCTGAGATGTGTTGCTTGGTTCTCTCCTTGTGCTGGGTGTTCTCTCTATTCTTTCTATAAGCAAGTTTGCTTTTTTTGTTGTTTTCTTTTTTCCCCCAACTCAAAAAGATGAAAATGAATGACCAAAGCAATTGAGTGCGTATGGAGCATATCCCTTAGGGAGCTGTGGAGCAGCCACCGTGATCAAATTAGGGATGTTAGAGAACTAAGGAGTAAAAAGAAAATGTGATGCTTCCTCATTTTATCTGATGTTAAAAGGTGTTAAAAAGAGAGTATGAGTAAAAAGAGTAGTAATTCAGGAGGACTGTAAGAGAACCACAGGCATACAGTCCGACAGCCAGTTACTTAAACCTAAGACAGATTTTGAAAAGATACATGTATACAGTCCCATATCAATATATTTAAAATCAGACCTATAAAATAATGAAAATAGCCAATAATAGATAATAAAAATAATGAAAATGAGTAGTTTATTCCAAAATCTTTCCAGTAACTTACCTGTATCCCAGTATTTCAGACTATATTCACAGGTGAGTGCTTGGTCTCAGTCTAGGTAGGACAAAAAAGCCAATCAAAATGATCAAGAACAACATGAAGAGAGATGCTCCTAATTAATGTTTTCCTTTCACAGTGGTTAAGTGCCATAAAAACTGGCTAGTGGATCACTGTAAGGAGATAGTAGACAGCTTTTAGTTCCCCTGAACTTTGGTCTCTTTGCCATAAGGTGCTAGGCTGGATGAAATTGTTACCTTGTTTGGTGGAAGCCTAACTACTGTTACATCAAAGTAAAGACAGATCTTAAGGGACAGAATTACTACACCAAATAAAACACACTTCCACCCACAGTCCTATGCATTTACCAGGTGGACAGTGGTATCAAAACTATTGTGCTTTGTTTCACTTTTCTGAGGTGCCAGTTCTCCCCAGCTTTCTAAACCAAAGTAAATCTAGACCTGCCCTTGCTCAGCAAGAGGTAAACCTGCATAGCTATACTTCAGTTCTGAGCAGACATGAACTAACCAGGTAGCCTTTCTGGAACTAAACCATTGTGAGAACATCTGTGTTTTCTTACCAAAACCCTTACAAATCTCTGTGTGCAGCCTGATCACCCCTACAGAGCTACCAAATCCCGGGTTGGACGGGGCCTACAAAGGGCATGGAAAAGTGAAAAGACTAGAAGGGGGGGACACAGGACTTGGTAGCTGTTTCTCACCTTCCCTGGTTTCTGACTGAAAAATGGTAAACTTACCAGAAAGCTGAAACAGACTTCTTACGCCTTCCCCTCCCTGCCAGTGATCTCTTACAATGAAAATGAGGAAATGGGTGCAGACCCTTAACATTTGTCACCTTTATCCATGCATACTTTTTTTCCCCCTTCTTTTTGCAGATCCATTTGATGTGGACTCGGGGAAAGAATTTTGCAATCCCAACAGACCGCTCAATTCCTCAGGGTAATGACATTTAAATACCATTTTTCTTATTTTAAGTTGCTTTGCTTTTATAATCATGAAAAATGTTTCCAGGCTAGCACAAAGTAACGAAGAATCTGAGGACAGTGCGAGCACTCCAGATGATGCCACTGAAAACAGTGATGAGAGCAGCCCAGAAGAGCACAGTACTGTAGACTTGCTGCAGAAACCACCAGTAAACCAACTGCTTGAAAAGTAAAAAATGTCATGATCAAACCAACCCCACCAGAAGCCCAACAAAGAAACAAAAGAAACCCCAATCCAAGAATCCTAAAGAGTTGTAACATAAAGACATTTCCTTGTGAACAGTTAGCAGTGTGGCCTGTTCACCTGTAACTCAGTGCTTAGCAAATGCTTTCCTTCAGGTGAGTCTCTGGCTATACATGGGTTTATACGTCCATGTATGCACATAAAGGCTTTAGGTTATTTAATTTGTAGCTAATTGTTCAGGGAATTCAGAACTGTACCACAAAATTTCAGGTAACAGGTTCAGCAACACTCTCTGCCTGCATTGGAGGCGACACTGCCAAGTCAAATGCATGCTGAAATGTACTTATTTCTGAAATGCATGCAGAAATGTATTTCTGAAATGCATGCAGAAATACATGCTCCTTAAAGCTGTGAGTCAGAGATTCTCGTCAGGGCTAGTATCTTGGTTCACTTTTCCATATACCTGTCAGTGTGTAGGCAGAAGTACAGCTATTAGCAATTGAAATTTTGTGGTACAGTTCTGAATATAAAAGTGCCAAAACACTGTATGTTGTTTAGGGCTTCTCTGTACAGTAAAATGGAATGATCTTGAGTTTCTAGCACCCTACTGGGGTTTATTTAAAACTAAAAGTCAGCAACCCTTGAGTAGAATTGGTAGTACTGAGGACAGTTTATAGCATTACCTTCACATATACAAGCTCTTCAAGTCACAGCAAGATTTTCATCTCTCACCCCTCTTTCTGCTAGAGAGATTCAATGCTAAGCCTACTTGAGACAGAATTAGGAGCAACAGCAGCGGTTTTAGTGGTACAAATATTCCGTTTGCCTTCAAAAAAAACAAACAAAAAAACCAAACCCACAAACCTAAGTAAATTAATTTAATGGTGAATCTTTCCCTTCAGCTGTGGTTAGTTATTTACTTTCCCACCCCAAGCATATGAAGTGTCTCCTGACTCAGCTGTTGAAACAAGGATTTCTGTATTGTGACAAGGAAATAATCCTACACAAACATTTTTCCAAGGACTAAGAATAACATGAGCGTAGTACCTGCTCTGATCTAGGGAAAGCTTCCATGTCCTAATGCTACCACACAATCAAATGCGGACAAAGCAGAACTGAGATACAGACCTGAGAACAGAGCTGTATCA